TTTACATCAGATAAATATACTCCTTAGGTGGTGTAAGTGCCTAAGGGATTTGACTGCTACCAGAAGGCTGGCGGTTCAAACCCGCGAGCCACTCCTCAGAAGGAAGGTTGGGCAATCTACTTCCATGGTGATGCTGCCTCGGAAACCCAAGGAGAGGTCACTATGAGTTGGATCCGACTTGACGGCAGTGAGTGTGGCTTTTGGAATGGAGAAAAAATGAAAATACTAAGTATTCAATTCATTGAAAAGGTGACCAGAACAGAGGAAAAAGAAAGTAACAGACAGAGCTAACACAAAATAACCAGTAGAATAGTTGGCTTAAACTCTACCATATTAGTATTTACATTAAATGTGAATGGTCTAAACAATTCAATTAAAAAACTGGTCAAGTTGTATTGAAAATAAAAAAGGAAAAGAAAGCCCCACACAGAAGTTGTCTCTAAGAAACCAACATAAATGTAACTAGATAAGTTAAAGTAAAATGATAGAAAATAAATACAAATATTAATCATAATAAGAAAGAGGAATACTATCATATTCTCAAACAAAATAGACTCTATGATGGGACTACTGGAGGCAAAGAGGAATACTCAGTAATAATAAAATGGCTAATACATAAGGAAAACATAATGATTATAAATGTGTGCATTCTCAATAACAGAGTTTTAAAATACACAAAAGCAAACAATGAATAAATACAGAAATCTCTGATTATACTTGGTGATTTCAACACTCCTCTCTCAACAATAGAAAAATAACTTTTGCTTAAAAAAGGAGTAAGACATAAAAGAGATGGATGTCACTATCAATATCCTTGATCTAACTGAAGAACACTCCACCAACAGTAGCATAATACACATTCTTTTCATGTGTACATGAAACATTCATCAAGACAGACCATATCATGAGCCAAAACAAGCCTTAAGACATTGTAAAAGACAGAAATTACACAAAGTATGGTATCTGTATAAAATTTTTAAATTAGAAATAAAATCCCTGAATATTCAGAAATTCATTCCCTAAATCTTTAGAAACTAGAATATACTTTTGTAAAATTATTTATTTTATAGCTATTGTTGAGAATATACACAGCAAAAGACACCAATTCAACAGTTTCTAAATGTATAATTCAGTGAGAATGATTACATTATTCAAATTGTACAACCACTCTTATCCTCCTTTTCTGAGTTGTAAACAATATACTTCTAAATAACCTATGAGTCACAGAAGAAATTAAAAGGGAAAAAATAAAATATTTTTACCTGAATGAAAATAAAACATAACTCATGAAAATCTATGGAATATAAACCACATAGTGCTTAAAGGGAAATTTAAAGGTTTAAATATTTCTTAAAATATTCAGTAAATATTTAAATTTATTAGTATCATTTAATTGTTGTTGTTATGTGCCGTTGAGTCGGACCCAACTCATAGAGACCTCTTCTTGGGTTTCCGAGGCAGTTATCACTACAGAAGTAGATTGCCCAACCTTCCTTCCAAGAAGTGGCTGGTGGGTTTGAACCGCCAGCCTTCTGAGTAGCAGTCAAGTGCCTTTAGGCACTATGCTACCAGAGTTCCCATTATTTAATTAATATTGTTTTGTTGTTGTTATGTGCCATCGAGTTAGACCCGACTCATAGTGACCCCTCCTTGGGTTTCCGAGGCAGTATCACTACAGAAGTAGATTGCCCCATCTTCCTTCCGAGGAGTGGCTGGTGGGT